TATTTAAAATTGGGACAAGACAAAGATAGCGAATAATCTTCTAGAAAAGGGAAGTGAATGGCAAGTCAATCCACCTAGAGCCAGATATTGAAATAACACTTCTGCACCACATATGAATGTCTCACATGGACACATGACATGAACAATCACACATACAAATACATAAATCTGATAGTCCTGATGAAAAAGTGCATATTATTGGAAATAGCATGGGCTGCTGTGCAAATTTTCTTCTATTTTTCTTTCTTTTTTTACAATTATGTAATATTAAAGAAATTTTCCATGTATTTTTGTGCGTGTACTCAACTTGAATATTGTAGAAATAGTCCATTCGCGGAAGCGAATTTTTATTTAATATTCGAAAATGAATATGTTATACAAGTGACAACACTCGGAGCTCAGCCACCGGGCATGACATACAAACTAACTTTGGCAGATTATACGGAACAAGTCTTCTGGGAAACAAACCACAGTGCAGCTATGCACATAACGACACCCATGTAAAGTCTCTTGGAATGTGCACACACAGTAGGCAGATTAACAAATCATGGGTATCACAAGGTACCAATGATTTTTTATCCAAAACATCCCTGTCAGCGCTAACCAAACAGCTGGTGGGAATGTTAACCCTTCTGAACTCATACCACTAATGTCGGCCCCATATCGGGAAGAAAACAGACATGGGCTAGTACACACGGAACTATTAATCACACCCAATGACTGTACAGGCATGGGCCAAATGAAAACTACCACCCAAGTCTCCAACCTACCCAAGCCTAGAACTACGTCATCGTACAGTTTATCTGATAATCAAACCCATTACTCACTAAAAAATGGGTAGTAACTCGACAGACAAAGGTGAACACGGTACCCAAACTAGTTGCAACACAGGGTTGTTATGCCTCGCGGAAACGGTGGATGCCGATCCACACCTAAACCTTATTGACGAGCTTAAATACTTCAAACACTACTTCAAATATCAACTCTACTGAATACTTAATAATGCTAGCGCTATCCCTAACAAACTGCCGATGCTCAGGGCACACACACTGTTAGGACACACCAGTTGTACAGGCATGGATAAGTATTATTCAAATTACATGAATTTGATTTATAGTGAAATTACATGGTTGCTCTCCTCTCTGACATCAGTTAGTGAGCACATTCTGATAGTTAGTCGTTCAATGGAGCACATAAAGAAATATAGAAATATTGTCTTCGCATTAACAAACAAACCCAAGTATCTTTTGGATGGATTACAAATACTTGGGAAAAAAATAAAGCTTGAAGTAATTCCCCCATAAAACTTTGGTGTGTACGGCATCGAGTCTTATTCTTGATTTATATCCAAATTTGATAATAATTTAAAATAAGTAATCCACTTGTATACTTTTGTCAGCATTTTCATCGTAACATCACAAGTGAATTGTACTCAATGTAGACCAATAATAATGACAGTTTATATTCTCTTGTAAACGGGCGTTTTCAAGAGATGCAAGCTATTTTTGCAGACACGATCAGTTTTGTTGTAAGTTACAATCATGAAGTATTATAAATCAATACTTTTTTTTGGTATAAAGGTATATTTCACAACTGTTATCCAGGTTGCGTCGTTGGTGAAGGTAATGCGTAATTCACGAGGGAATTGTAAGATATGGGACCAATAATGTTTGCAGATCATTTGTCATTGTAAATGGTCATATATCCACATTCTTCATTCTCATTCAAAAAGTCAAATGGAAGCTGAAATGGTGAGAGACAAAAGAAGACAAACAACAACAACGCAAAAGAAAGCAAGTGGAGTACTTAGGGAGTGATTAATATGTATATATACATTTATATTCTGTTTAGTAATTATAGTTATTTTGGTGCACTGACTAACTATTCCCGTGATGCTAACTTTTATATTGTGTGAGCTAATATTATTGTCCTGTGTAAAAATGTCTATCATGTACTTCCAATAATATAAAAATTTATAATTGTAGTTTGTTGTAACTACACGTTTAATGAACTTAAAATATCTATGTTGGACGAAAAAGATCCTATGTGGAGACTTTAACTTACCTGAAACCAACTGGGATATACTCGCAGGCCCAACTGAACTTGATGAGTTCTTAGTCGCAGTGGATATTATTATTATTGTTACCTTTAATTCCTAGAGGAACATAGGGCTTCGGCCGTGCGTCTCCATTGCGTTCGGTTCTCTGCTAGAGTCTTCACCTTGTTCCAAGTCTGCCCACACTTTCTCATCTCCTCTTCACATAACCTCCTCCAAGTCACCCTCGCACTGACTACCAACTCGCCTCTTCCCTTTCGGGTTCCACTCGAGCAATGGCTTGTCTAGTGATGTCACTTGATGCATTGTTTCCTCAGAGTATGGCCAATCCATTCCGATTTCTTCCTGCCTATTTGTTTCACAATCGGTTCCTGGTTGGTTCGCTCATTGCCAGAGATCTCTGTTGCTCATCTTTTCTGGCCATCTGATCTTGAGTAGTATTGAGCGAAGACAACTGTTAATGAAGGTCTGTAGTTTGTTTGAGATGCTCTTTATGACGCGCAGTGCAAGTCTCTGATCCGTATAGTAGCACTGACTTCACATTGGAGTTGGAAATCCGGATCTTATTTTTGATGCTGAGTGCTGTTGACCTCCACACAGACTTGAGAGTAGTGAAAGCTTGTCTTGCTTTGATATCCTCGTCAGTTCCACCTGTAGTTGAAACGATGCTTCCCAGGTAGGTAAAAGAGGTTGTTTCTTTCAGGTTCCTCCCATTTATGCTGGTCGTTGTCTGTTGTTGTTGTTCTTGTCCAGGGATCTTCATCACCTCTGTTTTCTCTACGTTCACCTGAAGTCCTATCTTTGATGCTTCTTCTGCCAACTTGTTGCTTTTCACTTGCATATCTTCCAGTTTGCGGGAAATCAGACATATATCGTCATGGAGGTGATCGTGCGAGGAGGCGTTGTAGGAATATTGTCAATTATGGGCCAGATATAGACGACTGTTGAGAACAGGACAATGTGGAGTTGTGCTGTCAAATTCCTCACGATTTAAAGTTACCCAGTTTTCAGAGTGCATTCGAAGTGTTTAGCCTACCAATACAAGTCATGCAAGCTGACAGCATACGGTTGGAAAGTGATATTTCGTTATTCCATGACAAACGCATGCAAACATCTGATCCACTTTGTGTCGCCATATCTCATTTAAGCGAGCAGACTAAATGTCACTGAGACGGATCGCGCAAACCCTACTGATGCATAGCAGGAACCATGACGGTGTAAGACATTGACAACATTTTACTCGGGCTTTACCACATTACCTGTTATTCCCCCTAACTTCGCCTTATTCTTGAAATGATAAATGAAAGGGATACAAGTCTACAGAAACGCATATATTTATGACGAACTGACGACCAACCAACTGAGATATAGCTTGGTATGAAAGAGTACATGGTTTGTAAAAAAGCATTGCTAAATTTCGCTGTAGTAGATTGTTTACACCTGCGACTTAATCATTGTAAAGTCTACTAATCATGCTGTCAATGAGATCTGCGTCACTATCCGTCAGTTGGTAGTGATACTGGAAAAATATTTGCACTTTCCCATCACCACCAGACCCTCCATGAGAAACTGGATGTAGTGTTTCTACTGAAAACTGAGATTGCATTCTCTCGACTACCTTAGGCTGCATCAAACTAAACTTTGAGCGACGAAAAGTAACAAGGGAGTGCCAGCCCACCAGTGACCTTGGAACACTCAGCGTGCAAGTGAGTGACACCGGGCCAAAAATCCTACAATAATGAATAAAATGTGTTGATTGAAGTGATATGATATTAAATGAGATATCTGGCACTTTTTGGGTTAGGACAGGGACGGATTAAGTTAAGGCTTTGGCTAATAACAGATTAGAGTTAGGTTAAACTATTACTGGGGATATTAGAGTTGATTAGAGTGAGATTATGATTAGCTTACGGATAGTTTCGCGCTACAGCTAGGTATAGGATGGAGAGGTTTACGGCTAGCGTTAGGCTTAGAATAACTGGATAAGCATATCGATGGCGTGTTTTGATTACTCCGATGAAAGTGTGATGCAAAGCTCAGAGGTATTTTCGTCAATCGTTGAACAAAGGTATCTAGCGTAACTTGGCTTTTATCCATTATTTCAGTAAACAGGTGGATTTTATGTGTAGAAACGCCTGTTCATATGATCGGCGTGTTCAAGACACTTTGTCCATTGCTACATGTTGATCCTTAAAGTGAGAATTCGCCAACAGGGTTTCTTGTTACCCACACCTTAGCCGCAACACTCACTCAAACGAAAATCCACCAAACATAGTGTGCGTAGGGAAATTCGAGAGCTCTGACCCCCCAATGAGGCATTGATCCATCTATCCCCTCTCTGTAAACCGGCTGCAGAATAATCATTTAGGCGGTCTCAATATGTCCGAATCGAATATGGGCTGTTGCATGAGAAAGATCCTTCTTCACCTGAATCCAGAGGACCTCATTCGAACTGTTGTAATTTGGGTGTATTGATTCATGTTTGGATTGACATACCAGGACGGTGGGACGGGCGAAGAATCGGAATAAGCCAAATTCCGCTTTCACTCCATGGCGTACTGTATGCAAATTCGATTATTATGCTGTAATGCATCAACATTTTCGCGTCTTACAATGTGCTGGACACTCTACATGGCCAAATACGAACAATGCTGTATTTACCAGCACAGATGAAAACCTGGAAAGTGTATTGTAAGCGAAATCAAATATTTGAAGTACGCAAAACAAATGCAAGCGTGCTTGACTGAGCGAAGTGCATATGGAACAATCGAAAGCAAATTTTCGATTATACAATGGCAAAAATTCGGTAGGCATGTGTAAAATCAGATTGTGTAAAAGTAAAATATGGTCACATGAATTAGTTTCAATAGCGATCATTCAGAGTTATTATAGGGGTATTACGACTGCTGTGTATGTTGATTTGTTTTAATGGTCTCACTTGATAATTTGTTTTGTGCACGGCACCAACGTGAGTTTAGTCAGTTCTTCGGTCAGTCGGTCTGCATTCATAAATGTAATGACTACGTTAAACTGTTGCGTTTTCCAATAGATTGTTCGAGTTGTATCTTGTAAATAAATATTCCATTCTAGCTTAGACGACTTTTTATTGTTCGATATATAGAGGTAATGTTTTCAATTGTACTTTGTAGAATCAATGTGGATACCTCCAGTTTGTGATAACCCTCCACCTCTTAATATTGAAGAAGAGCTACTTCCTACAACACTTCGGACCAAAACGCCTACTGTTTCTGCCTCCAGTAGTTCAAGTAGTGACCTTAAAAAGAACTCACAAAATCAGACAGCGAATATCAGATTTCAGTTCTATCCTGTCCCGGTAATCAGTAGTTTACTTGTTTTCTATTTGTTCTGTTGTGAACGTGTTGCTGAGATTGACCTTTTGCGAGTTGATATGTGTGAAATGATTTAATGATTCAATTCAGTCAGGTGACTTGACTCCCAGTTGAGTCGTCTGTATGGAGAAGTATCACTTTCAAGTGGGAACTCAGTGTTTAATGTATGCCTCTGAAAATGTAAGCAGGTTTGTTTCAGACAGAAGGACTAGTTTGTAAATTTATCTACTATTAAGTAGTCTTATGGATGCTCAGTAACTGTTGGTTTGGATTAAATTGCACGATTATCCGTGTGGTTTAGAGTTGACGGCATTCATGAAATTCACTATAGAATATTTAGAAATCAAGGCGTTCAGTTGGTAGATTAAGAACCTGGATTAACGACCCTATTAATCAGCTATATGAAAACGTAGATTTCGTCGTGAGTTGGGAAAGTGGTACGTGAACATGACTATATTTTCAATGGGAATTCATGTGGAAGGCTTCCGACCATTGCTTTGCCACCCAAGATGATTGGGACTTTGTGTTCAGTGGTTTCGTCTCTCCAACCAGCATGTCACATTTCTCAAGAAAGGATTTGATAGGGGTTGTGGTGTTTAGGTTACGGAGGACCGAATACTCACCTCCTGAAGTACTAATTAGTTATAAGCATTGGAGAAAGTCTGTCTTTGATTGTAAATATTTGATTTCAGTTTTATCCAGGTGAATTAAATACTTTTGACCACTCTGATTTCTAGCGTGCCAGATGCTTGTCGTTTCCATATCAAGCCTTACCGTCTCACGGAACAACAGTGTATTTGTATACGTGGACTGTTCCTGCACCTGATGTCGTTGCCAACCTTTGCTGTGTGGAGAAGAGTTGTTTCAAAAAGACAGACGGGGCTATTGGGCTTTTGTTTTCGAAACCAATTTCCAAGGTGATTCTAAGCATTTTTATGAACAGTTATCTCTGGGGGAATATTTTATTTTCTCTCGTTTCCTTGTGAGGTGTTATTTCACATGTGTATAAGTGGGAACCTCTTTTATCCTTGTGGACCAGAAGCTTCCCTACAGAATACAGCGTTGACTGTGGTGTGATATCATTAGGACTGCATTTAATTAGAGTAGTGAAAGTACTAACTTTCATGATCTGAGAAGTCAGTGACTTATAAAGAGGAGTGAGACCACTTCATTATACCTTGATTAGTATTTCCCTTGAGCAGTGATGGAGAAACTTCACTGATAATTATCTAATTTCGCTGACAACTAGCTGGCTGACTAAGTCCACTAAATCATGTATTCTCGTGGACGACAACATGAAAGTGGTAATTGACTAGTGGGTGGCACTGTGGCGAGTGCCCAGTCACTTCCAAACCCACCCTGATGAATGAGCCTAAACGACCCTAGTCAATATGTTAGAGTTACCACTCCAGCTGAATTTGAGTCCTCATCATGTCTGAAAGGACACTGCCATTATGGTGGACAATTCCGCCAGGCTCGGCTTTCCACGGCTGATATACTTCTGCTCACTTAAGTCTTCTTTTGTTGTGTCTGCACTATGTGCCGTTGGATTTTGGTGTCAAATGCACACACTTATCTATTGGAATATGTGGGTAAACACTTCCTCGAAAAGTGTTTTGTTAAGCTATTGTTATCTGACAAATATGTTGAGGGAGCTGGGGGAGGTATATTATTGTATATATTATTGTTCCCTTGGGTTCCTAGTGGAACATAGGGCTTCAACTGCACGCCTCCACTTGCTTCTGCTTGGGGAGGTAATGTTTCAAAATTATCTTAAGATCATTTTCCTACTTTCTCAATCTTGAGTTTTAATAATTCGCAGTTAATATTCTTATTATGCATTCTGGGATTGTGTCTCATTGGTTCCCGCACACGGATATTACTCAACATTCTGAGGGTTTGGAGCAGCTCTATCTGCTTCCACGGGGTTGACATGTTAGATATCAGTTATTGATAATGGCTCATAACGTAGTACATGAAGAAAATTGTGCACAAGGCAAATCAGTTAACAACTGTACGACGAAGGGAAGTTGGTTTCACTTAAGTGTGGAGTGTTATTTATGAATGTGAATGATCGCTTGGACACATTTGTAACCTCCTGCACATTATTGGCTTCATATGATTTGACTCAGTCTGAAATTATAGCAGGAATTATTAAGTAAGAAAGCTGAACTCTCTTTGGTGTTTCTTCTTTCTTTTTGTAAACAGAAAGAATATGTTTGTCGAATTCCCCTGTATTTGACACGTGGTATGGCTCGTTCGCGTGTCCGATTAGTGGGAAAGCTCACACTGAGTCAACGGGAATTGGAATGCATACAATCAGCTCACTCAGTGATAAGTGAACTGATTACAAATATAGCCCATTTGTCACATGTTGGTCACAAACCATCGAGTCAGGCTCTTCGCGATCTTATGGAGAAACAGAAAGATCCAAATGAAGTTCCTGAAAGTCTTCGAGTTACAGTTATCGATCGATTTACTGATCTATTATTCAGTCCTGAGAAAGCTAATATTCTGGCGTTGATGACGTTAATTCAGTTACCAGGTAAACTATAGTTCTTGTTTTCTCTCTCTCTCACTCTGCATTAAATGAGCTTTTTAAAAGATGATGAATCCAGTCAGCATTTGACAGACTTACATGGACAGGAGACGAACTTGTTGAATATCACGCAGTCTGGTCTGAGTGAGTTTGCATCGATCAACGTTGTCCAAATGATGGTGACTTTAACTGGCACTATTGAATGCATGACGGAATAGCTATTTGTTGGAAGCAGTTTGAAAGGGTGGATTGGAAGGCGTATTTGTATTGTCATCCTCCATCCATTGTTGGGTTGTTTTGAGGCTTGACTTCGTTTTTACTGTATCCAACCAAGACAGTGACGCTTGGTTTTAAATATGAAAGGAAAATCCCCATTTGGACATTTGGATGACAAAAGGATTGAGTGAGGAAATATTTACTTATCAATTAGATCCTCAGCACTGGCTATAATATGCATTATACATATATGCATACCGACTGCCTCCAACCATCTAATATAACTAATTGTCGTAGTTAATTTCCTGACCGAAGTAAAGATTTTATTCCCTGTGTTGTTGAGTTTATGTGTGCGGACACTGGAGTGATATAGGCAATATAGGTAAGTGGAAGGAGAAGTTGATCGCCCAGTGGATCCTTGTCGATGGAATCTACGCCTAGCACAACACAACACACGAAATAGGAATAACGCAACGCCAATATCAGAGATATGGGAAATATTAGTATCAATAAAATCAGAGGATAAGAAATAATGGAATCATACGGACAATGTCTGAGAGTTATGTGAGCATCGTAATGGTTGTGAGCAATAAATTCTGGTCGCGACGTCATCAGAAAATAACACTGCATCACTGTGTGCTTTCATGAAATAAATTTATTCTATGATGTGATTAACTATCTTATTTGTAATACATTTACTCCGTCCCATCCTACTGTGTGATAGCACGCAAGTGGATGCATAACAATGGGGGCACTTTTCTCGAGACTACTTAACTGAGCGTGGCCAAGGTTTCTAGACCTGGCGGGATTTCTATGTTTTGATAACATAACTAACCCTCGTCTACTGGTTAATCGTATTTCGCTTAATTAGGTCTATTGAGTGTTGAAGGTGACAAAGTTTGTCTGTGAGTAAATGGGTTGGTTTAAATGTCCCTCTAGTTTCAGTGGTATTAAGACTCCTATGTAGGTCTTCTGATGTTCCTTCTTTACATGGTAGTGCCGTCGATGTTTTGAATTCGTTATCACTTATGTTTTCATCATCTGTATCACACACTTGAATAAAACCTGGTGGGTAGTTGTTCACTGGTATTGTTTTCTCGAATTTTGTATTTCATCACTTAAATCATCTGACGTACTAGTCAGGCTCCTAACTGAACTACATACATATTCGACTGAACCCACTTATAGTCATTTCGGATGAGATAATTGTAGCTCTAGGTAGGTCTTTTGCTATTTGAATTTCCCCTGGCTTCAACTTCATTTCAAATAAGTTAATCAACCTGCAGTCTGACCGATATCTAATCGGGCATAATATAGATTCCAAATATTTGGATAGTTCATATGTTGTAGTGTTCCTAAAGTCGACTATTGGCCTAGCAGATTATCCTGTCCCATGGATTTTGACAGTAATGCCGTGCATTCTACTAGGAATACTAGTCTTGGTCACTAAGTTAAACCATGTCGACTCACCCAGAGATGACTTCATTCGGTGTATGAGACCAGCTGTTGGAGTTTTGATCCTTATTATTGATAAGCGTGTCTGTGGGTTTCGTAATCTCCTCATACGGATGCATTTGAATTTGTTGATTGACTTTCTTAATGTAATCTGATTTGTCCATAACTGCTGTTGAGTTAATGTTATATGCTTTGGCAATTACTATGCTTCTGTCGTTATTTTAGCTTTTTCGGGCTGACATTTGTGGTTTTGATGAGTTTTGTTTGTCGTTTTTTGATGTTTCAGTGTGTTGACATAGATTGTGTGCTTGAACTTGTGTATCGTTTGTCTAACCTATGGAGCTTAATGTTACTTCTGTGTGAGAAATGAGATCTTCAGGCTTTATTGTGTTAATGGCTATATTGAAGTTTGGATGTTTCTGAGGCGCTTATATTTCTACTGAGCGTAGTGTTGTGGTTGTGAAGTTAAACATGCAAGGTTTTGTTTCGGTGTCCTGCTTGAATGAAGTATGTTAAGCAACTGACTTCTGGTATTTCTTATATTCGCGAATAGTAAACGAGGCCCGAAGAGCTGTGAATTTCAAAGCAATGCTCAGTAAGAATTAGTGGAATGGTGATGCTTCTGCCGAGAATCTCAAGATTGGCTTATGCGGATAGCTGAGAAAGGCACTCTTTTCGACTGACCTACGGATGAACTTCTACAGTCAGGAAATGTCTAATAGTGTTTTCGATTTTCTAGTGATGTGACGGTTTGTTGATTGATTTTACACTGAGAAGTTTGATTTGATATGTAGTTCGAAGTGTATCTTGGAAAAAACTACACTTGCTACCCAGTGAACTGGAGTAGGAACATAGGGTTCAAAGTAAGGGTTTATACTTTCGGTGTGTAGAGATGCCTAGAATGTAAAGGTATGAAAGCAGATGGTTGTTGTTCATAGTTGGCTGTGGTGTCGACAGAGATATTCAGACAGTTCATTTCTCCTGACTGTCCGTATATTGCAAGTTGTTGTCTATCGATTGTATGTAAAGTGGAAAACGTATTGAGTTTACGTGTTTGTAGTATCATGAGGATTTCTGATGGGATTGATTGTTTGTATGTGGTGTGCATTAAAATGTCACGATTCGTGTTCTGTCCTTATGGAAGACTTCACCTGAACTGTTCAGTTCACCATAGATGTAATGGAGGATAAAATGTCTAGAATAAGTTAAATGTTGCTTGTCCAATAGAACCGCTCACTGTTGTTAGACTCTTTCCTCCAGCAGTCGAAGAAGTAGTCAAGTCTATAATGACAGTTAATTTTAGTCATATATCATGATGTTCGTTTATGTTGGTGGTGTTTATGTTCATCAATTGATGTGCGGAAAGTAACCACTGATAGCACTTGTGATACCCTAATGATCAATCGATAGGTCCATTATGGCCAACTATACACTGAATCATCGAGCGGATTGTCTCAGTGGCGTCATCTCTGTGACTGCAGTAGTGTGATGCGACTTGGAGTCGTCTGTGAAGAGAATCAGTTGGTAACGAGTGCCAATAAGAACAGAAGCTAGATCAACAGTTTTATGTCGATTACCTCCAACGAGCTTTGAGATGACTGTATATATGTATACATGTCAGGTGTCCTTTGCAATGGAAGTTAGTTACTTGTACAAGGTGTTTTTATGTAGATTGGACTAGAATTCGTAGATGCTACGTGAAGTGGCGGTTTTGTGGTATTAGTAGAGAGACCTGAGTTACATCTAGATCATTTCTAATATGAATTTTCAATAATGATTGTAGAAGTAATTCCAGGGTGTCTGTCCTATTATGCTGATGCTTGATTTTTCTCTTTTACATTTTTTATTCTTTTAGAATGTACTATAGATTATGAAGCTATTGAGAGTCTTGTGAATTGGTCACTTTGTCGTACGAATTCATTGTCTTCGGCCATTAGAAACAACACTAGTGGATCAGTAAAGATCAGACCTGTCCGTGGTATTTTGCCTAGTTGGCATGTTACGCTGAGTCAAATACCTCCAGAAGATTGGGTTGGTTTAGTAGTCAGACCTATTCACCTTCCAGATAACGATCCTGGTATGTTTTCGATTTCAGAAGTGTGTTCGGAAACTCCTGTAAGTTGTGTGCCGCGGTATTTAGCTTCGAAACTTTGTAACACGAAAAATGATGAAGAAGTGTCAGGAGTGACCTATTTAGATTTCTACAGAACGAAGTGTCCCCTGATGAGAGATCTACCCATTGATATTTCAATGCCACTGTGCAAGACGTCACGACTGACGCGTCATCAAAATTGCACCCAAGTTACTGCGGGTCTACGAAGAGGTAAATCAATTCCCAGACAGTCAACGTTCGTATGTGAAGGGTGTTTAGTACATCCATTATCTTCATGGCTTTGGTTTCTGGTGTCTACGATACCTGCAGTTCTTTATCAGATGTCGAGGGCATTGTTGGCATCACAATTGTCCACAGAATTGGCTGCTGAGTTAAAGAATCCCCAACCATTCTGTCAAAGGACGAATCCATCCAATATGACGGATGATTCTCTTTCTCCTGTAACCATTTTCGTGCCTGATCGTCTACGTGATGCTAATTTCTCAAACGGTGAACCGATTGACGCAACTATGTTTGATTTGAAAGTAGATGAACTTACTTCAAAAGAAGATCAGGAGATGGATGATATGGCTGCAAGGGAATTCAAAGGCGCTTCGACAGTTTGTCCTCAACCCAGTGACCTGATCGAGCCAACTACGTTGTTAGGTGCTCGTGATGCAGTGAATCTTGAGCGTTTAGAATTTTATGGCGATTCGTTTCTGCATTTGATATCTACACTGAGTGTTTACGGTACCAGTCCACAGGATGCGGATGAAGGACATTTAAGCTGGAAAAGAACTTCACTTGTATCAAATGCTCACTTGTGTGACATTGCTCGAGATTTGACATGGTATGGATATTGTACTGGTCAAACATTCTTTCCATCAGAACATTTTGTACCTCCGTGCTACACTGTTTCGTCTGAGGTTAGTGGCTGTGATGGTAATCTTTGTTTGTATTTTCACGTTTGCTCAGAGCATTTCAATTCCTGTATGTATGTATATGCATAGTTATTCAAGTTGTAAACTCATATGGTAGAGATTGCTAATTTCATGCTGTGTGTGGATGGCTCCATAGAAAGCGTGCAAGTGATTAGTTCCGATCCCGATTTATTGGCTGAGGATAGAAGGCTTGAAGCCTATGTTAATCGTTTTGTAGTGAATTTCTGTGGTTTCTTGAATAAATGAATTGAGGGCGCTGACACGACTTTTGATCTCAATTGGTATTTCCTCTGAGGTGTTCCGATGTCGTGTGGTAGTAGGGAAAAGAGAGAATAGACCAGGTGCGTAGTGATTATTGGAAATTCTGATGGTTGTAATGAGATCTCTCTGCCTGTAGTGTGACCGGGAGAGAAGAAAGAGATTCAAAGTGTGTAGTCTTTCGTCATATGATAAGTTGGTCATGCCAATAATCATACTTATTGCCCTCCTTTGAAACGCATCTCGAATGTGTGAGTCCTCGTTAAGACAAGGACTGGCGGCCATGTGTGTCCACCTTTTGGAGTGAACAGTTATTTTCCACATTCACCAGCCTGTGGATGACACTCGGTGACACTGTTGCAGTCGTCCAGTTTGAAGTCTGTATAAATAAAGATAATTCACCGTTGATTTTCATGGTGAGTAGTGTATTTTTCTCCGATAGCTTTCATAGCTCTTTTCACTTCTAGTAAGTGAGTATAAAAGTCGTGTCAATTTATTGTGTTTGGCTTTTCTACAGGTTTCTAAATACGATGCTCGTTTATATACCCGCCTATATGACAAGTCTTTAGCGGATATGGTTGAAGCCTTGTTAGGATGTTTTCTAGTGCACATTGGACTACCATCGGCTGTAAATCTCTTACATTATCTTCAAATATGTCCGGTGAATTGGAATACAATAAAATGTGACAAAGAATACAAGATTGATGCTCCATGGCATTGCCTTCTTCACTCAGAAAATGATATTGCTAGCAGTTCAAATTCCAGACGTCACCTTCTCCGTGCATCATCACAGAATTCACTGGCCACTTACAAATATCGAGATCTCAATGAGAAATATTTTCGTTTACAATTGAAATTGGATTATCGCTTTAGAAATATTGAATTACTTGCTACAGCTATGACACACCAGTCATCAACTAACACAGAGCACTGGGGAAATTATCAGAGGTAAGCTGTAGTTCATTCTTCTCTTTCTCTCCTAAAATATGTGTTTCTTTAATGTAAAACATTTGGCAACTTGGATTGAGTGAGTAGTGCACACTTTTATTTATTTATTGATTGACTAAAACATAAATCCGGCACATTATATATGGGTACGAATAAATGCTCCACACAAAATCGGATAGTTTGTGTGGGTTGTGAGATACTGGTCGGACGTGTAGACTGATGCAAGTGGTTGAATGAAAGCGGCCACCTGTCTCCCCCCGAGCCTTTGACTTGAAGTCAGATCCACAAGGCAACCAATGCATGCATTGGAATCAGGGTTTTCCAGCTCCGTTAAGTCAACCCGAATGTCCACGAGTCCCAGTATGACGAGGTGTTCCACATCTTTAATGACAATATTCATATGCATAGTGACTGTGATGAATTCTTATTTGTTCGATCTGTCTATTTATCTTAAACTTTGCCATGGATGACATTCTGGAGTCATCTGTAAAAGACGTGCGTGTTGGCGGTGTAGATTTACTTCCTAGAGGAAGACCTTTTGACCTCGAGAATGCAGGTGATATCGTCTTATTGTGCGATAGCATGCAGGCTGCCCAAGTGGCGCTTAATCGGTTGGTGATCAGTGTCTGTAAGTATAGTATGTGCTTTTCGCCATCTGAGTGCAAGGTGTTGTTACAAGATTGGCAGGAGCGTGCACCTGTACTCACTCCAGCAGATGGACTGCTTGAAGTTATCGATAAGTTCGTGTATCTGAGTAGTTGTGTGGGTGCTGGCGGAGGTATGACGAACAAGATTTCCAACTGTATCATGAACGCTAGGGTGGCGTACGTCAAATGACATGGGGCTTGGCGAATTAATGTATGTCGTGTAGATGTTTGACTTTCTTAGAATTAACCACGAAGGTCGGGTTTACAGTGTATCAGTGCGCTCTGTCTTGTTCTACGCCTTCGAAAACTGGTTATAGGATTAGGCGACAAAATTGAATTTCACAGTATCGAAGTTATGCAGAAGAATTTTAGAAATCACAAAGACCATCTCATATCAGAAGCAGTTCATGTCAAGGGAAATGGAGTCTTTCTGAATTTGATCTGGTCCCAACAACTGCGTGTTGGCTACCATGAAGTGAGAGAATCAACATAAATGGGATTATCAGTTTCAGTGTGAAGTTATTGGAAGTTGAAGTGCTGGCACGTCATCACACCAGCTGTGTTTCAGACAAGTAATTACAAATGACATGAGTCTGGGAGAGTTGATGTCTGTTGTGTGGATGTTTGACTTTCTTGGAATTTAACCACTCTGAAGATGAATTGTCCTTACGACCCAGGATAAGCCAATACAGCAGTTTTGTAGAGACGCGTAAGCACTTGATTCTCAGATGATGGATGACAAGTTCCAATCCCATTCCACCTACTTCAACCCGTTGAAATGTGTAGTAAATGAGCTAGAGAAGCATTGATAAGAAAACATGTAATCTTGCACTTGAACAAGGTGTGTGTAGACATGAAACACACTTGTTTTTAGTGTCTAAACAGTCTGTATGTGTGGTTACTTGGTTACACATTTATAATAGGCTGTATAGTGTTGATATTGGTTTGTGAGTGTGGACAATGATTGTTGCCAGTTTGTGTAATGTTTTGAGAGCAGGGAATGTCAGTTATTGGGTTATGATTGCCCGTTTATGTGAATTGTCTCGGTCACATTGTTTATTTTGTTTGGGGGTAGGTAGATTGATGGGGCGATTACACCGAGAGAGATGACTTCTATCTTGCGGAGCGATTGAACAAGTTGTTGACTCGAAATAAAATCCAGGGGCTGACATCTGACAAGTGTTTGTGAGCGAATTTCTTTGCACGTAGACTGTACCTAATTTGTTGTGCCTAAATGAATGAGATAAATGCAGAATTGATGTATCATGTGTGCATGCGTTGGTGAAGTTTTACCACTGTCGACTTTTCATCTCTTTTTATTGTTTCATATGTTGTTGTTTCGTTTTCATGGAACACTTGTGTCATCTGCCTATTCATCATGGTTGTGACAATGAAACAAGATTGGAATTTCTCGGTGATTCGGTTATGGGTTTCATTGTGAGCAATCACCTGTTCAGAAAGTGTCCTCATGCTTCTCCAGGTAAGTGTGTTAAAGTGAAATGAATGTTGTTATGAATTTGCGACTTTTTCTTCTCAAAATGTTGATGTTGGAGTGATGAAATGGGATAGCCTGAATATTCCGCCCCTCTCCGTTTGTGTGACATTTACTGTTACAGAGTAGTGAGAACCGTGAAGTTGTTGAAATAAATACCTGGTAAAATTTTTCCCCGATTGATAATATAATGTCAAGTACCTAAATAATACGCCATCATGTCACTGATGTGATTACGTGAACATGAGAAGGCTACAATCAGCCTCATTGTTCTGGTATGTTATCAAGCCACACTAATGTTGATGATTAAAGTGTTTTGCAAATATGAATTGTTTTTTCGTGAAAGGATAAATGATCAGTGGACGCGTCATTTCTTCGTTGTTCCATCATGTATGCATTAATTTATCTACCGACGAATACGCATGTACTGCTAATTGCCCAACAAGTCATATAGTCACAAGGAACCTATAAAATGCCATAGCAGTGAGAATCTCCTAAGTTAACTGTCTAAGTTATTGCAAAATCCGAGAAGTAATGGATAGCGGTTTTTGGGTTGAAATATTTATAGTGATGAACAGATTTATAACGAAGTAGATGTCGACGGGTACGAAGATCACCTAGGAAACATAATGAATGTGAATGATAATCACAGGGATTGTGGGCCATAGACAAGTGAGTGAAGAATGTTGCATGTTCTTGTTGTTGTCAGGACGCAGTTATCCGAAATAGGGTTTCCACTTACTTGGCTATGATGCACCTATTTTGCGTGAAGGCTGAAGTAGGTGGAGTGAGATTTGAACGCAGAACTCATTGACTGAGTGTTTGAGCCAATGAACTCCATCCCAGAACTACATCAGAAAAGAAGCATATCAATAGGTAGTGTGATTTTAGAGTGTGTTTGGCACACAGCATGATCCCACCAAATTAGGCAGTTAGTTATCTTTGAGTTTCTCGATGCTGTTGGTGAGTTATCAGCGACCACGTTGACGGCCATTTTGGCAGAAAACTAGCATACAGCCAATCCCTTTTAGTAGGAGAATTCAGTCTGCACCAAACCCAAGGATTGGATGCATGACATTAGTTACTACCTAGTGTCAAATCAAAGTATCCATTACAGTCCTATTGTAGGTGATTCATGGGGTTGAGTAGCAGATTAGAAATGTCTCTGACTGTACCATTCAGTGGGTAACCCGAGTTGGAATCTCAGAAGGGACATGAATTCCTTGAAGATTTCAGATACGCCTTGCTGACAAGTGCCAAGGAGGACGAAGCCTAGGTCGAAGGCTTCCTGGCAGTTGCCTCAAATCACTTCACTTGAGATACAGACTTGTTGTTGTGAACTGTTAAGCTGAGCGTGTGGTGACTTTGCAGCTACTTGTTTCCTGAGTGTCTAACGATGGATTTATTTTTATACATAGGTGCAATCACTAGACTTCTGAAAAACAGCGACAGTGAGAGGGAGTCGGAGACAGTTTTCCACTTTTTCCTGCAATAATGGCTTATGAAAAAATTATCTATATTTCATTGTTGGCTAGATGTCAATGACGCCTCCAAGTGATAAAATTTTTCATATTATGTTTGGTGTGTGTCGATGTTTAGAAGCAAAGATCAAGTATTTTCTCCTTTTCTTTTTTCCCCACTTTAATTTGAAGGCAAACTGAGTGAAATGCGATCGACAATCGTGAGTAATAACAATTTGGCCAACACTGTAGTCGAGCATGAAATATATGCATTTATTGACTCTGGGGTTTGTGATATAAAGCCGTGCATTGATGAGATACAAAGTATTCATCAGCGAACCGATTCGATTTGTGAACGTATCGAGGTAAATTAAGAGATTTCTGCGTTGTTCACTATTACTAATTGTCTTGACTATATTGTAGAGTTGTAGGCTAATTAAATAGTCATATATATACCAGGCTAAAGTGCAGTATGTTCATTTATTATGGTAATGCTGATAATCGTCACTGCTAAAGACAATCGCCAGAGTAAATCCCTTGTGTATTGTTAAGTATTGAAAGCAAAAATGTAAAGACTGTGTGTATATTCGAAGCTATCTACTTATCTATCGTGCTCTGTGAGTGCAGGAGGAGATTATCAGCAAATAGCTGGTAATTATAATGTAGCATATTGAAATCGTGCTTTCATTTAACATTCTGTATGTATATTTGTCAGCAGGCGTGATTTGTGGACAGAGCATGTGGAGCAGTTTCTCTGACCTGAACCACCAGCCTAGACTAGCCTTGATTGTAGGTTTTGGTGAGCAATCTGGTCGAACGAGGGAGACGGCTGTTGTGTGTGGTCGTTCCACAGAATGACACTGCATGCGCTGGTGTCACCTTGCAAGAGTCAGGTGTGGGTGTGTTCGGCTCTTCTGAAAACCAATGTATGACTGTTGAGTCAGTGAGTGTATCACTATGTGTACTCTCATGGGTGGTGCAATGGTAGAATGCTCGCCTGCCACATGGGTGGTGCTGGTTCGCTTCCCTACCGACACACATCTAGACCTTGCCTAGCTGGTGAAGTAAGCTCGGTAAAGAGGAAAGGTTTGTAGTGAGACGTAAAACAAGTTCATGTATTGGAGTTATGTTTTAGTCCGACCGTCCTTGCTTTTTCATGGTATTTCTGTTTCAGTTAACTTTTCCGGTGGAGGCAGTTGTTGCCTTGGTGTAGGTAACACATATGGTAACCATCTGTATCTGTGATGGCCGACATCCGTTGTTGGTTAATTCTGTTGATTATTGTCACTGACTGAGTGGTCCTCAACATGGAGGTTTGCACAGAATTGCAACCGTTCAAGTTGTCACACACTATGTTGTACACAAAGTCAGAACAAAGAGATCGAAAGGAATGATAGCAAGCAGAAATGTTAGGAAAAAAGATATAGTGGTTGTGGGGGATCGTGGAGAGGGAATGCATCTACGCCATTGGGAGCCATATCAGCGACAGTCTGTAGCCATTGATTCTTAGCATCTATCTATCCTTCATTATTGTCAACCACGTTGATCCGTCTAAAACGAGAGGCTAGAGCTGCACATCTCAACGAAGCAAAAGTTGATTAAGCACAGAGGTATAGTAAGACTTGGCTTTTTGAAAAAGCTATAAGGGAATTTTGTCAGTTTCGGAACTTGCATGATATTTCAAGGTATACTAAACGAGGAGTTTGTGATCATTTTAAAAGAGCATGTGGAATTTATGTGGTTTTTTATCATGATATTAGTCTTGTACCAGTCAAATGAAGATATTGACGAAGTGTAAACCTTAATGACAATTCACTTAACTGTCTGTGCGTAGTGTGTAAATATTGACTCTTACAATGTCACTGAAGTCTGTGTTTCATCATACTGCTTTTATTACTTTACTTCACTTTACTACATAGCTACTGATGAAGAAGGTTGGTGAGGGACTGAATGTCAAGATTTTAGCCGATGTATTTGAATCAATTCTTGGGGCTATTTTTGTGGATAGTAACGGGAATCATGCTGTGTTATCATCAATTATTTTACGATTCTTAGGCAAAAGTATTGGTGAGTTTTCTTTTCGCATTAGTAGTAATAGTTGTTGTTGTCGCTGCTGTTGACGGTTTTATTGTCTGTGAAGAAACCATTTCATTGTGTTTTGTTTTGTTTTTGTGATAGGAGAATCGTAGAAAATGAATCTCGTAGTTATGTGCATGTATTTGGAAAAAGTAGAGTGAGATTATGTTCGTTGAGGCATTGGCTAATGTAATGCATCAATTGCGAGCGTGATCACAGAGTTAGAGATATGATTGAGAAGCAAGCAGCAGTGGAGGGTCGTTTCGTGCCATTCTGAGATTCTTCTCAGAATTCTTCTCGAATGAAACCCGGTTCCTGCAGGTTACGAGATCAAGTGGCTGAATGGTCAACGAGCTTGATGTCATTTTGGTAACGTTAGGGTGGCGCCTTTGCCATCGGACGAAAATGAAAGGAGTCCAACAATGTCAGAATCGCACCAATGTTTAGATAAACTATGATAGAACAGGGTTACATATGTTAGCGCTACCCGAATAGCTCATACTAACATTTATTGTTTTACCAATGTATCACTATCAGAATATTTGTGAATTTACGTCGACTATTGAAATTATGGTTTTAGAAGTAATTAATACAGGTCCAGCTTAATCTGTGCCCACAATTTGCGTATTGGCTGGTGGTGGGGTTGCACTAGTGATAAGTGGTGTTACTCATGAATTGTGGTCCTAGTTACATGCACCGACAATCGGAAGTAGTAAGTTGTGTACCTACAGAGGTGTTATGAGTTTACAGCAGTTCAAAGAAACCATTGATAGCCTTGTATTTATATTTGCGTTTATGAACGTGCATTAATGTTCAGGTAGTTTTGAGTCATTGTAGGACATTGCGATTTCGGTAACATCAGTTTTACTAAATATCTTGTTGTATTGGAAAATATCCCTTGACTAGTTATGAAGGGAAAGAAAAGCCTCAGTGTACATCACAGTTAATTTAATGTCTCGTAAAGAAGAAACACCACTGTTACTGAAACGTCAAACCTCAGACAGGCAGGCAGTCAGGTAGGCGTGGAGCCTCATGTTCCACTCAGCACACAAAGCCATAAGACAAGAATAATAATTAATCAATTCATATCAATAAGTAAACCGTTTTCTTTATTTTCACTGTCCTCTTTCAGATTATTGCATTGACAAACTACCGAAGAATCCAATTCAGCAGCTTCCTTTATCGCATCCTGATATACGCTATCAGTACGTCTAGGAAGAGATGTTTTCCAAATTACATTTATAATTAATGCATCGCTTCATGTGTGTATATATGAATTGCAACAAGTTGTTCATCTGTTGTGAAACTGACTAGTTTGTTCACAGAGTTGATAACAATGCTACGTGTAATATTTTTCGTCATATAAATACTGCTTACCTGTTATATATATACGGAGACGGAAATCATTCGCTGTCAGATGCTGCGGTATAAATTCACGAAGAAGAAAAATACCATTTCCCCCAAATGTAGCTTTATTGTTCCGAAACTTTTGAAATTAGTAGTATTGTGTTTTTAGAATTAATTTTCCTGTATTTTTGTTCTCAGCATTTTTTGGTGAAAAAGGAAAAATCTTAATTAATCTTCTGCCTACTTTTCAGGAACAGTTCTGTTGTTTTCAGCTCACAGAATAGTCAGAAAAGGTATGTTATAAAGCATGCGAACCAATTTATTGTGAATTATTGGTGTATGTTTTTTTCTTTCGATTTCTGGGTATTACAATGCTCGCACAAAAGATTTTGAGTTTGCGTCTTTACTTGATGGAGTAACAAGTGTTGCCGAGAGAATAGATATTTTACTGTAAGGGTGTTAAAATAGCACTGAATTATTATTATTATTGTTATTGTGTGTTCATCTAGTTATGTGCTAGTAGTGATGCAGCCAGTCCGTTTGATTCGTTTAAACAGAGTGAGAACGATCATATTTGCAGGATGATAGGACCTCATTTGATTCCATTGATCCTTGTCAACTGAATACAACGTAGATGAAGATTGTGAATGTACTTTCCTCACAGTGGCGTCGAGTTATCGATTGAAAGTGCTGGAATAGCTAATTATTTATGGGTGATTGATATAAGAATAAAACTTGTGCACTGTAGTAGAGTGTAATTCCATTATGGGTAAATTTTGTTTTAATAAAGTCTCACAGTGTCATACAGTAATGTGTACTGATGACGTTTCAAGCACAATTTATTGCTCATAATCATATCATACCTTGATAGAATGCATGATCGAACAACAGAGCAAATTTATACCTGATATATTATGATGGGAATTTCAATAGGGCTGAGTGGATATTAGAAGTGGAATCACGACTCAGACAACCAGTTGAGTTAAACTGGAAACTCAATAGTGAATTCATCTCAGTAGTTGGTGGAAATCAAAATTAGGTAAAGTGTCAATTGTCTCCAGCCATTGGTGTTTACCTTCCCGAGGACCCCAACCAGGAAGTCTGCATCTTCCGAAGTGGCTTCAAGTAACTCTTGTGGATTACATTGCCTGATGAAGCCATGTTTCGGTTTGACAACCAGCGGCTCTTTTCTAAACTAACTCGATGTCAGCTAATATTGCCCGTCGAGGAAGGCGATGACAAGGCTAGACATGCGTAACACATGTCCTAACCGTCTCAATCGATGTAACTTCACAGTCTCGTCGATTGATTTCCCCTCTTTACCCAGCACTCGGCGCCTAAGCTCAACATTGCTCGCCGTATTATACCACGTAACACGGGAGATAGAACGCAGGCACCTATGATCAAGGACAGCTAGTCTTTCGATGTCTTCCACTCTCAATGGCCAGGTCTCACAGCCATAGATAAGGACGAGACGGACTGGTGAGCAGTGCACAGGCCCTTTGGTCGGAAGTCAGCCGGATATCATGCCTAAGCCAGGGACGGCGTGAGCCCCCCCTCTCGAGAGTCTCATTGGTTATGCTTTCACTTACTGAGAACTCAGGTACATTCAGTTGACGAGTCTGAAATAGGAGGCGGTCCGCACCCGGGATTTGATTGCTAGTCACCATGCTCTTGAATACGTCATGTGTGTTCTTTCTTTGTTCGAACCTATTGAGGTAATCAGTCATATGAAACTGCTGGAATTTTCAAGCTGGCAGTTAGTGTGACAGTAGTAATACTGTCTCTTGTGCATTTGTAATTTGCACATACAGTGTTCCGGTGCATAGTTGTAGACTTTGGTGACTTGACTACGATGAAATACCATAGGGACTGTTTGTCACGGGCAACGTCCTAGTCTCATCTGTCTTGTTGATAATGATCAAAGAAAACAACCTTTGGGGTAGTATTATTCTAAGTTATTTAGTAATTTTGATTAATTTTAGTAATCCTTAATTAGATTGCAAATCCATTATATAAATTTATAAATTAGACGAAACTGATCGCTTCCTCCTTCTTATTGCACTTAGATGGTGGTAATAAAAATGTGTAGTCAACAGTGAGTGAATGTTAATGCCCTGTAGTTTTTAGAGTTTGTGAGAATTGTTTTTGTTTACTTGACGACCAGCCAGCATAATATTTAACCAGAGGTTACTTCCATACAACATTTGCCCTCATTTGTCATTATTGTGTATTCTGATAGAATGGATCGTTGAAATGGACTGAAATACGTATCAATCGTTTTGCTGTTTGAAGTGGTTCAGTGTAGAAACTTTTCTTTTTAATCGTCATACATATTAGTCTCTGTGTTGAGCAAAGATATCCTTTTGGCGGGTTGATCCTCAAAAGCAGTTGTGCACTCCCGTTTATACACATAATTTTACATAGATACAATTAGTACTATTACTTAATCCCACATAATAACGAAGGTGATGATAATTTTCAAGTGTCGGTTAGCAGGGATTATACTGGCTACAGGTTTGATCACGAGCTGACACCAGCTAGAGAATCGTTGGGAAAGTGCTGCAAATTCTTCTGGTATGGTGGATCAGTGAGATGATGAAATCTCTTTTTCAACTGACAACTATCGAATTATCACAGTTTGTGACGGTTTTCTGTAGATAGGCCTCTTCAGTGTCCTGTCACCTGTTCTTGTCAATTGTGCATCCAGAAATGAAATAATTGATTCATTTTGTAATTGCATTGTGAATTTAATTGAAGGATGGCAATTATTACAATTCCAATCGGAGTCATTATGACAGACTATAAGAGTGTCGTTGACATACCTATTGTACAGCAGTGATTTGTCTATCCTTGATTTCAACACCCGCCTTCCCCAAACTAGTCGTAAACCGGTCTGTCAGTTTGTAGCGTTCACGCATATATGTAGGGTTTCTGCGGTCAGTCTTTCTTCATACGAACCAAAACCTTTCTGTAGAACCTTAGTCCTATCAAAGTCGATCTTGTGTCCCATTTTCATCGAGTGCAGTGCAATCGCTGATCCGTTTTCTAGCTTCTTCAAGTCCGCAGCGGTCTTAGGAACCACCTTTAGATATTGTTTGTTCCCTTTAACTCTTACACTTACCTGTCTCTAAGATTCTCTTACATACACGGCGTCAAAATTCCCACAATTGATCTGGTACACACAGTTCTGTTGGTTGTCTTCTTCTATTTTATCCTTAACCTTCACAAGCGATGAGCGTTAGGGTGTTAGTTGCACGGAAATACACTCTTATGTCATGATTGTTGAGGATTCGCTTATTTCACCCTGTGTTTGTTTGCAGTAAGGAATCACCACTGTGCTAACCCAATTCTTAGCACCAGATTTCGATTCATCCTTATTTTCACATTGTAAACATCGTTTTATGAAGGCTTTGGGATAATTATTTGATTCAAGAGTGAACTAAACCAATTTATCTGATATCCTGTTTAGTGTTGTATTGATGCATATTGTCTCTGTCTTAGTGATCCATTTGCGGTGTAGTGTGTGGATACTACATTCATCATGTTGTTAGTAACAATATTTCTTCAATGATTCCTGTCATATAAATATCGAAGAGAATATTCTTTCTCTATTGAATTAGTCTTTCCAATTCTTTTTTTTACGTGATTTGTTCAGAATTTCAATGTTTGTTATTATTTGGTTGTTGCTGGATCTTCTGGTGAACATTTTGACTTATTTATTTATTTTTGTGATAGAAATTCAAACAATACAGCATCGGATTCAGATAATGAAAATACGTATGAGTTGATTGCATCGACTTCTGGTAAACGTATCTGTGTCACTAGGAATACACGGAATGAAGGTCGTCTTCAATTAGCTGAAACTTTGGCTATATCAGATGAGAATAAAGAGAATGTCGCGATTTCCGATGATCAAGTATGCATGTCGTTATCGTAGTTGAGAGTGGATGGGTTGGTTGATGAATTTCAACATTCGCTACTTTTTAACTGATTGACACTTCGCTTGTTACCGATGAAGATTTTATTTTCTCTTATTTTTTGTACTAGTTATATCTTTATTTACTCTCTCTCTCTCTTGAGAGAATGAACAAATAAACATTTTGATTCGGTGAAGTGTTCACCTCTAAAGTGTTGTCTTTATTTTAATTTGAACGTTCAATGTGCGCGATTTCTCAGTTATGGCTGACAGTTGGTGGCTGAGTTTCAACATTGTAGTGTGTACAGAAGTGGAAGAGTTTGGGTTGCCACAATCGATGTACCAGACAAAGGTAGAACAAGGAAAGAACTATAATGAGGAGAGATTTTCATTCGAGAAAGAATAGCGACATGGAAAGAAGATGAGGGATCAATAGATCTGGTAGATAACAGAGAGTGAATGCATCTGTGCCACTGAGAACGGTTTTGAGCCGTATGTTGTGCCATTTGTGGCTCAGCATCATGAGGACCCCAGTCAGATAGCCTACACCTGCCTACGTGGTTGGTTCAAACCAACTGAGTCACATGTCATTGTTTCTTTCTCACCTTGTAGTTAAGATTTTTTCAGGCATCCTATTTCATGCTTGGGGTAGAAACGAAATCAGTGCAATAGACTTAATTCTAGAAATTACTTGAGGTTAATCCTAGGACATGTCGACTTGTCAAGAGAGGCCGAACATTTCCGTCCACTGAAACTCAGTGGGAACAGTATCATTCACTGGGAACGTGGTTACAACCAGTCAACGAATCCGAAATAAGAGGGAGTGGGAATCGTTGTTTTTTACCGCGCGTCACCCTCCATGAAATAGCTGTGTAGTACCCATGTGATTCATGCAAGTGTCAGTTCATCCTGTGAAGTATCAGCTTCGAAAATGTACGATGGCCTAACATTACGGCTAAATCTCGAAAACACTTGCCATGCATTTAGTATACGATTGAAGAGTGTAAAATATTTCTTCTAAGCATGCATGAATTAAAAGTCAGTGTGAACGAAGAATTCTGGTTTCATTGAATTCCCTCTGGAGACAGATATCTTGCAGAATAGCACACTTGTCATGATTACTAATTCTATGTCATTTTATGGCTGTAAAACGTGTTTGTTAGGTAGTTTGTACAAAGATGGCATATATGAAATAGACAATAGTGAGACTGTTGTGACTAGATCATCCTCGTCATCAAATAATGAATATGTGAAATGAGTGAAGTGGAGTCATGGATTATCACTAACAATAATCAATCAGAATAGCTTGTCAGTTTCCATATGTATAAGAAAAATTCGACAGTGCTTTAGGAACGGTAGAATGAAGAGGGTAAATGATAAAATACGGCGTTTTTTACTAAGAAGTTATTTCCTGTTCGGACATTTAAACAATGGTGTGACTACATAAAATAATAGTAGTATGAGATGCAATAAAAATGTTTGTGATTATAATCATAGTTAAATATTGAGGGTAAATTGTCAAAACAATTAATGTCATATACAGAATAATTCATAGGATGTATATATGTTGGAAGGGGATATATAATCATAGGGTTAGTAGGCTAATGTAAAACATTACATAACATGGGGTGAAATTCGTCATAACTGATTGCACAGTCTTATCACAATATTGACAAATCACCATGACTGTTTTTATAGAGTCTCACAGTGTTATACAGTAATATTTACTGTAAATATTACTGTATAACACTGTGAGACTCTATAAAAATAAAATTTACCCATAATGGAATTACACTCTACCACAGTGCCCAAGTTTTATTCTTATATCACCATGACTGGTTGACACTGAATATTTATTTTTAAAGTTCTGTGGTGAAATCGAATTGAAGACAGTATTTTTCGCTTGCTTGTGTTCTTTTAAATTTTACCATGGGAATGTCTACTATTTTCAAATAAAAACAAAGAATTCAGTCATGAAAATTCTCTTTTCGACGATTTCACTTTTCAGGAAATGTTACCTCGATTGTCTAATCCCGCTTTGTATTTATATGTTCACCTGCGCTTGCGGAGCTGGGTACGTAGGACATTTGCCGTGAAACATTTTTCCACCACGTTCGAGAGCACCTCCCAGTTTGGCTGAGCGAAGGAGAATGTAGAGGTATTAATTCATCGACATTGCAACATATTGTAGATACTGACCACGCAGCATCTGACACATAGATGAATGTAGTCTTCACAGTTTGACAAAGTTTGCCGAAAGGGACACGAGCGTGTAGCGGTAAATAATTCCCCAAAATTATTGACCACAGCACTCATCACTGAACATTGGATGCTGACCCTCACTGTTTAATTCGACTTGTTTAGCTGAAGGCTTCCGGCCAAGCATCCATGCCATTTGGTACTCCGTCGTGTTACGTTCGTGCACGACCCCTAGCCAGCCAGGCAATCATCTCGCACTCCGATTTGGTTCCGGAATATATCTCGTAAATTGGACGATCAAATATTGTCTTTTGCTTTGCCTTTGGTCTACACGGAAAGAATACGATAGAAGTTGTGGGTATCAGATATTGCGTTAATATAATTCGTACTATCCGTGAACGTCAATACCGTCAGCCTCTAAAAGTGGATTTGCTTTTTATAGTAGACGCTTTTGTAGTACATAACTGAACGTCATGTACAGAAACAGTTTGTGCGATCTCTTTCGTTACCACATTCTTGATTTTACTACGTCATTGACATAATAACTTTGCTATCCTTCTTTATTCCATGTTCCATTTTTGTTTTATTTCATTTCAATTTATGTCAACAGTTTATCTAGTCTACTGTTTTGACAACATTTCACTCATCCTGTCTCCAACATATTATATTCACAAATTCACATTTCCGAATGTACTTTATTTTCCGACCATCTATATCACACTTGTCTATTGAACTTTAGGTTGACCTCTATTTATTTCATATATCTAATCAATTGTGACTCATAATCCTATACACCAATATTATGGCAATTTAGTACTTTCACTTATTGTCAAAATTTAACACACACAGAAGAAAACTGATTGTTATGAAAAAGAAAACGTCGAGAAGGGAATTTTCTTCGCTGAATTCCTTGTTTTCATGTCTCAGTGGGGATTATTAATTTATTTTCGGATAATTTTAGTTGAACGTAGGTCAAAAATTTTATAATTAATGACATGTAATTAACGATAAGATTAGGGTGGGAAATTACATTGTGAAAAGCAAATAGTATTAACGTGTCCAACTTAATAAAGATAAACGATTTGATATGATTAACCATGTGTGACTGAAGCAATTGCGATTGAATGATTAGAACCAAACAAGAGGGGGAAAAATCAACAAGTTCAGCAGAGATATCTTTCTTTCTGGTGATTTCGTCCTCAAAAGCAGCTGTACAATCGCATTCCGATAAACATATTTACATAGATACAATTATTATTTGATTCCACATAATAAGGTGGGAAGTGAAAGGATGAAATCGCCGAAAAGATATCTCTTTTGAACTTCTTGTTCTTTTCTCTCTAATCTGCTTCTAATCGTTTAATCGCAATCGCTTCACTCCTTGATGGCCAAGTTAAGGAAAGCGTCTGCAGCAACTACTTTTCGATAGAGAACATCATTGGCTTCTTAGTGTGGATTCCGGCGGCCTCAGCAGCGTGTAACAGACGAACTCTTGTGGTAAAATGAAGATTAGTCAGTATACAGTAGATGACTTGAAAGCCTTGTTGACATCGATCTTGTGTTCTCTATCCACAAGATGAGGTAGAAGAGAACTATGAATGGAGTTTGTTTGTCCACTGCTTACCTACTGACACTGGTGTTTGGAAATCTAACGATACACACACATAATTGTACTTCCTACGTGACTGCCTCAACAGGATCAGTCAAATGGATAGATACACAGAGAAGAGGCGAAATTAGGTAGTTTATCTTTCGTCAACTCAATTTTTTTATTGTAGTTGTATTAAAGATGTCTTGACGATGCAGTTTCCTACCTGAATTTTGTCTTTATCCATCTTCTTGATCAGACCCTCTTCGACCTCTGTCCAGCTGAATTATTTGACGCTTGCATAAGTGCATTGTTGATTTCACGCCTCTATTCAAATTGTAACATACGTTAGTAATTCTAAAATATTACTCAATCATTCCTGTACATATTAACGAGCTTAACAACGGCTTACATCCCTTTCCATTATGTCACTAAATCACCTGATATTAATCAATATCCATCAATTTTATGATAAATAACTGCCATATTTGAAACTTTTGTATATGGATAGAGAATTTCTCAAAATGTATGCAGATGAAGACAATCAACAAGAACTTTCGACGTATTTTTATGGCTGTAAAACGTGTTTGTTAGGTAGTTTGTACAAAGATGGCATATATGAAATAGACAATAGTGAGACTGTTGTGACTAGATCATCCTCGTCATCAAATAATGAATATGTGAAATGAGTGAAGTGGAGTCATGGATTATCACTAACAATAATCAATCAGAATAGCTTGTCAGTTTCCATATGTATAAGAAAAATTCGACAGTGCTTTAGGAACGGTAGAATGAAGAGGGTAAATGATAAAATATTGAGACCAAATTAGTTTAAACAGTGGGAAATACTGGGGAGGCAACTTTAATCGAAGTCTGGTCACGATGGGGATGACCTCGGGTTGCTCACTCTGAACACAGAGTTCTGACTAAGTTTATCTTAAGTCAACAGCTTTTATGATATAGAATTGCTCAAGGTTTTATGTAGATGAAGACAACCAACAAAATATGTTGACGTATTTTTATCCTGCTATAAGCTAGTTCGTCTTGCTTTAATCAAGATTATCAAGGGATATCATTGTATAGAGGTCAATATTCAGTCAATCAATTGATTTTACCCTTTACAAACAACATCCACTAGGTGATCTGCAATCGATATCTCGTCTGTAAACTGACTCTGTGTTTTTATAAATCACGCCAATTGTTATTGTGATTATGATATTTCTTTTATTATATA